ATGGATGGATGGATGGATGGATGGATGGATGGATGGATGGATGGGTGAATTTGTAGATAGCTTAAATTAGCCATTAGTCCGAGTGGATACACTTTCATGTGACCTCTACATTGGTGTTAGTTTTGCATTACACAGTATTCACAGTATTATACAATATAATTTCAGCAGAAACATTTTGAAGCTCCTCTTTAAAGTGCTTGAAGAACAGCAGAGATGGTCCAGCTAGCTGCTGCAGCTATCCCCGCTTGCAAATAACCACAGTGTAATGTAAAGTTGACAACCATGTAAAAGTTTATAAAACAGTGTTCTTATGAACCACTGGGACATTTTTGAAGATTAGAGCTGTTTTAAGACAATAAATCTTGTACTTTTATGACCTGCTGGCTAGCTGTTAGCTGCTGGCTAGCTGTTAGCTCATCAGTACTGCCAGATTTAAAATGTTTTTCTCTAAACTGTGGTCATTTGAAAGGTTCACAAATATCCCTTTAAAGTCTGAGCCCACCCGCCCCGTGCACGTGCGCGTGTGTGTGTGTGTGTGTGTGTGTGGGGGGGGTATATTTACTGCAAGTGGATGATTTCAGGAAACGACTATATCTGTAACTAACCCAATTTAAACAATTTTGTATTAAATTTTAGAGTGGTCGTTGTTGAGCATTTTTCCCATAACATAGTCTGAGTGCTACTCATTGCACACCATTTTGTCTTTGAACGTTGTCGTTAACCCTGTTGGTTGACAGTCAGATTTACTCAACTCAATTTGGTGTGGCAGTACCTGAAAGGTACCCCACAAGATTTCAAAATATCATTCACAATATCATTTTCAAGGTTTACTGAAAATGTCCATAACTGTCCTGTTCATCAATATATATATATATATATATATTTTTTTTTTTTTTCCTTAAATCTCTTGAATAAAAGTTGGCTGGTGATGTGTATTCATTTAAGGAATGCTATATTTTTATTCAGATTATTTTTAGATAGTTCTTTTGTTGTTGTTGTTTGTTTTTTTCCTTTAGTAACTCTTTTCACAGTTAGGGATGTTAGTCAACTGAATCACAAGATAACTTTATCTGGCCTCTTCTGACACCTAATCAAGCAAACCTTGGCAAATGTATACCTTTAATCTGCGTTAATCTGGGCCACAATTTTGACAGACGCCCTGCTGAACGTGTGACCTGTTATCATTTTATTTTTTTTAACTGTATTTCTTAGTTTTTTACTTCTTGTTATTCTTTGATTTACTTTTTTATTAAGTCATGAAAAAAAATAGCTGTCTTGTTTAATGTTTGAGTCATTTCATGAAATCCATCACATTAGAACACAATGTACAAAGCGTTTAGTACCAACATCTAAACAAATTTAAGATACAGGCAGAAAACAAGAAGGTGTGTCGTTTTCTAGACTGCAGTTAAAGTTAAACAGGAAATATCTTCTGAGTGGCACTAAAGCTCTTCAGCATGCAGTTTAATTTGCAGATATAAATTTGGCAGCACAGTGAAACATTTAGGAGTTGCTCTTATTCTCAGGATTGAGAGATGCAGTTAAAAGCTCCACCAGAATCTAGTTACTAAACTTTGAGTCAGGATTTACGGACTATAAACTAGGCAATGTTTGTAGTAATCGGCAATGTGTTTAATCAAGTGATTTATAAAACTAATCAAGAACTGCCAAATTGCATCTTCATGGAGCCCGAGCATAAAATCTCCACCCCGTGCTTGTGTGGACAAATGCACACCCAGTTTTGACAGCTCAGGTTTATGTGGACATTTAAGCAAATCACGCAGTGCTGTACTTCTTTGATAATCAATACCACCACCATTTTAGTGTTTCTTCCTTCCCTCCCTCCTTCACGGGCATGCTCCTATCTCATCTCAGCTTGTCTGGGAGAATTGATTTGTTCGGATGGAATGATATCAGCCAACAGATAGAGTGATACACTCCACTCCCTCCTGAAGACCCTTCCTTCACCACACTTTTGACACATTAATAAAATATGTGGCCTTTTTTTGTTGTTGTTTCAGTTCACCGTGGTGTTAGTTCTGAGAAAGGACTATGGTGCACGGGGCTCACAGGGAGCCGTTGGTAGACAAGAGGGGTGGGCAGTCGGCTGGTCACCATCGCTCACTGTTCACAGGCACCCTACAAAAATCCCTGAATTTTCCGACACGCATTTGTTAGAGTGACACAGTCAGACTCTAAAGAACAGTTTCAGAAATGTTGAGTGAATGGTCAATATTTTAAGTGTTTGTTTTTCCCATAATGGCTCATTTTAAATAGTTTTACAACTACTATGTACCCTGACAAACAACAGGTTATCTACAAATTCCTTTCTACGTGTTTGAAATGAAAGAATGAGAGGTGATGTGAGAAAACGCCCCTTGTCTGTCCACGCCAAACCGGCATCTCGTCCAACTCCCACTTTATTATCAACCAAAATAAATCTCTAGCAAGCCTTAAAGCATTAGACCTGCTATTAACAGATGAATGCAACATGCTCATCCACACCTTGGCTAGATATTCCCAATATGACGGCAAAGGCATTTCAAGAGCTGGACAAGAAATAGCTGCTGGGTGAACTAACCTTGCATCCTTGGAGAGTGCCAGGGCATCGGGTCACACAGGCCTGCAAAACTTTCCAGTCCGGTTTATCACAAAGCCCATGCTTTAATGGCTTTCAAAGCTCAGCTGAGCACGTCTTTCCACCCTTGACTTGCACTTTTTGCACCCCATGACTATAAAACGTAGGTTATGTCAAGCATACATATACTAGCATTATCCAGGTCTCTATACGTTCAATACACAAACAGTGGATAAGACGCAGGAGACAGGAGTGACAAAAGAGTTGAGGCAGTGCCAGCCTGTACTTAAAGACAGAGTAACACATTACATTGGAGAACTAATGGGATTAAAAAGGAATTATCTGTTGATACGCTCATGCACTCTGTCTGTATGTCCACTTATTGAACGCTCCAGCCAATGACAGTGTTTGTGTGTCTTTTTGTGTATATGTGTCACAACAATCTTCGTCCTCATCATTACTCCACACAAAGTGCATCATAGACATCACCAGCAGACCATTCACTTTCTCACCTCATCATTAAACTCTAAATTTATTATTTGTCATGTGACTCTATTACATCTAAATTAGCTCCATTGATTAAAAACAATAATAATAAAAAAACAATAATAATAACTAGAGAAATTGCATTTCATGTGAAAATGCAGTGTGCATTTTTATTGCTGAAGAACTTGCTGAAAAACAGCTGAAAATAGCTAAAAACATGCTAAAATGTAGCTGAAATAGAAGAAAAAGCCCAAGTTAGCAGAAGAAAGCAGAAAGAACACATTTGCTGAATTAGGTTTAAATAAGAAGAAAATAGTACAAAAACTAGTAAATTAGCAAAAAAAGGTTGAAATTAGCAACAAAAAAAAAGTAGCTGAAAAGGCACAAAGAAGCTTAAAATTACCAGAAGGAAACAGAAAGAGCTGAAATGAGCTAAAAATGTTGAATTAGCTGAAAAGGCTGAAATTAGCATAAAAAGCTAAATAGTAGCTAAAATAGCAAAAAAGCTAAAACTAACAGAAATAGACTGAATGAAGTATCGCAAGCTGGATTTAGCAGAAATAATTTATTTAGTCTGAAAGTAGCAGAAATTAGCACAAAAACTTGAATTTGTCTGAAAACAGCTAAAATTAGCTAAAAAATGCTAAAAGGTAGCTGGAAAGGTAGAACAAGCTGAAATTAGCAGAAGAAAGCAGAAAGAACATACTTGCCCATTTAGGCTTAAAGAAGCAGAAAAGAGCAGGAAGTGGAAATTATCTGAGAAAAAGCTGAAATTAGCACAAAAAATAGCTGCTGAAAAGTAGCTAAAAAGCAGAAGCTTAAATTACCAGAAAAAAGTGGAGAGAGCAAATTTTTGTTGAATTAGGCTGAAAAATGTTTAAATGAGTGCAAAAAATGTGGAATTAGCCAAAAAAGCTAAAATTACCATAAAAACAGCTAAATAGTAGCTGAAAAAGCAGAAAACGATGAAACGTGCATAAAGAAGCTGAAAGGAGCATAATAAGCTGAAGTTAGCAGAAAGAAGTTAGAAGAAGCACAAAAAAGTTGTAGTTAGCAGCAAGAATCTAAACGGAGCCCAAAACAGCTGAAATTAGCTGAAAATTGTTTTAATTTGCGCAAAGAAGCTGAACCAGAACAGAATGTGAAAGGGGCAGTAAAAGATTGTAAACAGATGTAAAGATGTGAAGGATGTAAAATGAGCTCAATTCACTTTATGAAGAAAAAAAAAAGTGGCAGAAAGGGCTAAATATTTGAAAAAGCTAAAGTTGCACCAATACCAAAAGTCATAGCACCCTTCTCCTGAATGAGCTGAATGTTTTGATTTGCTGAAATAGCTCAAAAATTGTGGAACGAGAAAGATGCCGAAAAATGTACAGAAGAAAAATGGATCACAATAGTGTGACTGCTTCATAAACATTTACACAATAATAATTTACTTATTTTGACACCCCCCACATAAACACACAATTTTCTCTGTTCTATATCCCTCCACACTTCCTGTTCCCTCAAAGCCCTGAGTCACCTCCAACAGTCCCCTCAGACGGTGGGTGGGGGAGTTTCAGCGTGTTAAGCCAGCTTCAGCTCTGCTTCTGGTCGACAGCTCAGGGAGCCCTGAGAGAGAGAAAGAGAGAAGATGAGAGTGATGAGTACACTGACACTGTTGCTCCCATTTCTCCTCCAGCCCCCACCTCCCAGTGAGACATCCCCTCAACAGAAAGGGGTTCCCCTCCATCTCCACCCTGACTGCGCCTCTCAATCCTCCTCCTGTCGATTCAGGCTTTTATAATGTTCAGAAATGTAAACGTTTCTTTAACATTTACTTTGACAGAATCAGAAAAAAGGACTTCACTTTTGCTCATATTGGAACCAAAACTGAAGTCCTTCATTTTTTCTGATTTTCACCAGTGATTCCTTGCATTTCGGCTGCTATTTTTTAAAAAGGGTGTTTTAATTTTTTTTTTTTTTTTGTCGCTTGTTTGTTTCATTCTTTGAACTATGTTTTGCAATAATGGAAAAGCATACAGTTAAAGGAAAAGTGCATCTCCAAGCATTTGGAATTTAAAGACACTGTTTGTAGTGGGCAGCAATTACTTTGCATTTTTAGATTTTCAAATTCTAGAAAACAATGTGCATTTCTGGACTCGGACTCAAAATGTATTTTCAATAAGTTAATTTGAAATTACAAAACCTAAAGCAAGCAAGTTAAAAATACTTGTTTTTGTAAAATAAGTGAATTTCACAATAAAATAAATGAAGAATTTTCCTTACGTCACTGTTTAGTTAATTTATTATTAACCAGAAAAATAATGATAACCCCACAAATTAAAATGTATTTATGAATGAATATAAAGAATTGTTCAACATTTTTATCAACAGTGTTAATGTTTGTGTTATAACTGTTTCCAAGCCAAACAACAATAATAGATTTGGCGCAATGAGTGATGTACACAATGTTAACACTTATTTAATCTTTTGTGGGGAAAAAAGCCTGACATGCAAACTTGCTTCTCATTCACAGGAAGTTATTTAAACATTCAGCCTCCTCCTACACATTAAGGCATTAAGGGGAAAAAAATGTGTCTCCTGCATAGATCTGCAGATACATATTTCATGCAGAAGATATTCAGGTCATTAAGCAACACTTTGACACCTCCGTTATTTACTACCCCAAGTGGTTTCCTACCTCGTTTAATCAGACTTTACTAAAACCCGCTGACTCAGAGAGAAACCTTTCTTTCTGCTCTGTTTATGTTTATCTCCTCAGCTCCATTCTGCTCGCTGGCTTTCTCTTTCTTTCTTTGCTTACTTATATATTTTTTTCAAAGCATCCACTTTGCATGCATCTGGGGTTTAGTGGGGCCGAGACTCATAGGTCGCACAAGAGAAAATTAGGTGGAGAAAAAGTATCAAAGACAGAGTTGCAGATATGTGTTGTAACCAGACTCTGAGCATTATCATTTTGCCCAGGTGCTTTTTTTTTTTTTTTTTTCAAAGCAGCCTTAAACCTCCTCATGGAGTATGATATATAAAACAACCAAAGTGCAGTGCACCATTTTTTGCCTCAGAAGAGGTTTACCTTCGATTTTCTCTGCTGGGAAGGGTTCACTTGAGACATGAGGGGGAGGTGGACTGAAGGGAACAAGAATCTGCTCAATACAAGTTATCTTTAATGGAAGGATCCTGGACAGAGGGATTCAAGGGGAGGAAAACGGGAGGAAAAGGGAGGGACAGAGCGGGAGGAAACAAAGATGTGAAGTGTTGACAACTGTGTTTAGCGCAGGCAGATTCTGGGGTCAGTAACACACACAACCAAATGTTCACACGGACACACACACACACAGACGGACACACACACAGACGGACACACACATCAGCTGTCCTTTGCTAAATGAAACTTGAATGTAATGTTCTTTCACGTGGTTTCAACCAGATTAAAAAAATGAGTAGCCATGTTTACAAAAGCTTTGCGGCTGCCCCATCCCACAGTTCTTTCCTTAGATATTTCATTATTCCTTAGATAGAGAATTTTACTAATTGGCTTTTATGTATGTGAATGTTTCTGCAAAGTACCCTGAGACAACTTTGTTGTGATTCGGCGCTTTATAAATAAACTGAATTGAATTGAATTCTTCCCCCCCACCCTTCACCCCCCCCCACACACACACACACACACACACACCCTTCTGTCCTCAGACACACACACAACAAATATACACAATGGAATAAGTCATGAGCAAATGGATGACCATGTTTCGTGAGACCACCTGTTCCTCCTGGATACAAGTCTGAGAACCTTGAAAGGGTTATCCTCCTAACAGGGAAGGAGCCAGATATGTGTGTGCGTGCGTGTGATGCTGAGGAGTGGGTTTGGCCTTGTGCTGTCCCAGCCGAACCACCTGAGCCAGTTTGCCACTCATGAGGCACGTTTCAGATGGGGCAGTGCCAGTTTACACACACACCCACACACACATAAACACATACAAAAACATAGACAATTCAATACAACGCTCAATCTATAAATAAGAATGAAAAATGAACTTGACCAGTTACCGTATTTTCCGGACTATACGTCGCTCCGGAGTATAGGTCAGATCAGTCAAAAAAAGCCCCATGAAGAGGAAAAAACTAAAAGTAAGTACTGTAACTGTTGGTATAAAAAAACACTATTTTTTTTCTCACATTTTGTACCCAACGGTTTATATGCAGGAGCATCTTATTTATGTAATTTTTTCGTAATTTTCAAAATTTATGTTTTTAATAGGGATGCACGATATTGGATTTTTGGCTGATATGCAATATGCTGATATGTTAAAACTTATTTGGCCGATAATCGATGCTGATACCAATATTTTATATACATTCATTTGTCAGAACATAGCCCTCTTATTTAGGCTTATTTGCTAAAAAAAAAAATTGTGCAACAGCTGTAAGAGCTGGGGACATATATTCAGTAACAGCCATATGATATACATAGCACTTTAACTTATATTAAATGAAAAGTGTTAAATGTAATTTATTAGCGTCACCTGTGATGCTGTCTCACTTGTGGAGGCTTGTTCCAGGTTCCTAGCTGCAGTGTGGGATCCTCTGCACTCCTGTGCATGAAGGACTGAAGGACAGCCTTTTAAGTTTTTGTCTATCCATTGTGCCGTAAGACTAATCATGCTAAAGGGGCTAACACGGCGTCCAAATTTCTGTGGTAAAACTCACTCAACAAATCGTGCTATCAGCTATTAGCTTATCCATGACGTCAGAAATGACGGCTTGTAACTCAGGTAATGTTACGTCGGAAAAATATCTCCGACTGGGGACGATGTAGCGAGGCTCAACATAGTCCATAAATCTTCGAAATCCGACATCCTCACCAATGAAAAATAAAACTTCCACACCGCCGACATTTTTAAATTTCCTCTCTGCTGTGAGATCAGGTAGGCGCACGTGACATCATCGTGTTGTGCTGCTGCTGCAACGTCATCACATTGTGCTGCCGCTGCAAGCAAAAACAGCACCTTTTATATCTGTGAGTTATTTTAATGGAATGGCCGATGTTCGATATTGAACGTTAATGCTAATATCAGCCGAAACCAATACCATGCCGATAATATTGTGCATCACTAATTTTTATATTTTATTTTGAAAGACTTCATGCCGTCTCTCAGTAGCTTCCTGCCACTGACTAACATTTTTCTTGGACAAAGTTGAGCACTTGTGGCTCCCAGCACCTTGCTCCTCATGGGGGAAAGCGTTTGTGGTACAGAGGGAATGTCCTCGGATAATCAGATGTATGTACAAGGCCTTTTGCTCACAGTTTCAAATACAAATCTATAACTCCACCCACTCTGTCATCATGTGACCAGAAGTCTATCCTGAATGACCAACGAGGTACTCTCGAGGACCACCCCACAAGACAGACGTGAATTAATTTCTACAGATAGTTCCCATGTTGTTACAGGATTTTGCGCTTCATGCACAGACCTGTTCATTTTTTTCAGCGATAATGGAAAATGCACGGAGAATTTCTTATGTCACAGCTTTTATGTTAAAAGCGATCGATCATCTGTCGAGGAGGAAACACAGCTGCATGTAAGCTGCATCAACATTTGTCGATGGTCAGGATTGGAGATGCAAAAACAAAGTCTGGTACGTTTTAATAAAAGTTTTAAAATTCTTTCTGTGTCGGTAAATATGCATTTAAATACCAGGATCTCATTTTAAACACACATCTGAACGCATGAAACGGAGCAGAGGAGACAATAAATATAAGAGGAGGGGTTTTTCCTCCCTCCCCTTCCGTCATGAGCTCACCGGTGGAGAAGTCGTCAGATTTATTTTTAAAGCAGTCAGTCAGTCAAGACAGATACATATTTAAATAAAAGTTTTAAAAATCTTTCTGTGTACGGTAAATATGTGTTTAAATACCAATATGTCATTTAGGCTCCGCACAGAACGGAGCGGACAACAGGAGGGAGGGGGCTGTTCCCCCTTCTATCGTCCTTCTCCTCATATGAGCTCTGCTGAGGAGAATCATGTCAAATTTATTTAGAAAGTACATTTAAAAACATCAGTTGTTAACAAAAGTGTTTACCAATAAAAATTAATGTACTCATTTAATGAATATTTACTGCATTTTACCGGTACTATTTGACTTGCGGTCACATGACCTCGATAAAACTTCTTGGTAAAATAATTTTAAAATAATTTCAGTTATGTAGGTGTTTGCCACTGTTCTGGCCAGCAATTATGCTTAGACAGCTATTGTGTTCATGTTGAAGGTATAATAGTTGTAACCATGAGTCAGACAGTGAAGCTTCATGGAGACTCATGATGATCTTGCAGTCTGAGCATGTGTTGAAAGCAAGCTACCATATTTTCTGGCGTATCAGTTTTTTTGCATAGATTTGTCTGTCCTGCGACTTATATACATATTTTTTTCCATATTCATAATGTGATTTTTGACTGACACTTTAAATTTCGAAGAACTGCAACAGCGAGTCCTCCCGTGCACGCTCGCGTCACTCAGCTGGTGCAGGCGGAGGAACGCTGGAGAGCAAACAGGTCTCACTTGTAAATGAGTCTTCGAGGCTCAATGTGATTTATCTGTATAAAGGTTG